AAAGCACTTTGCATTGTCTTTGTACTAAATTGTGCTATACAGATAAATTTGCCTTGCCTTGCCTTGCCTTCTACCCAGTCTAAAGCCTGCTGCACCTTATGTAAGGTTATCTAATGGATTCTTCTGTTTTCTGCTCCATGCTTCTCTCAACATCTTTCCAGTCTCTGAAGAACAGCATCCCCACAGCACACTGCTGCCACCACCTTGCCTCGCCACACTACTTTAAGGCGTTTACATGACATATTAGTCTGGAAAGGAGGAGCCAGAACCCGATTCAGTCCGTGGAAACAGTTTAGAAACAACCAGATAAGTACAGATGTGATGCAGAAAACATCTTTAAAAAAAGACAATCTATTTTAACAGCCAGTTGTTGAAATTTTAAGAATATAAACAGCGTTTTTGGGACATAATCAAGAGCAGTAATGAAACATCTCTGTGTTTCAGCTGCAATCTTGAATGTTATGGTTGTAGAAAAGTGCTGTTGCATTATGGGCCCTCCTCCGTCTGTGATTGGTCCGGTCTGTTTTAGATCGGACAGCGTTGAGCTTTACTGACCACCTCCATGTTTGGTCATGGGAACGGTGTGTTCAGGCTGACGTTAACTACATCGTTTCGTTTTTCCACCACAGCATGCGTCTCACAAACAGCAAAAAGTTCGAGCTTGGTCTCATCCGACCAGAGCACGTTTTTATTTTTACGTTTGTTGCAATTTCTACATTCTAACGGTTTCTTTTTAGGAATGGTTTTACTTGCTTTTCTTCCACAAACACTAAGTGGTCTAGTCCCTCCTCTGACTATTTGCTCTCCTTTACCAGGCGGTCAGTTTAGATGCACCTTTATGTCTTGGTAGGTTTATTTTCTCCATGGTCAGACCATTACTCCTTAAGAAAATGCAACGCGTTGCATTTTCTTAAGGAGTCATATCGCAGAAAGTTCTGTGAATATACTTTATGTTTGAAGTTGAAGCAAATAAGATTAAGGCACGATTATTTTTGCAGATTAATGGGGGGAGCAGGTGGACGGACTGGGCTATTGGGCTGTGATACTGATGACTGTGCAATTGAAGTCATTTAATTGCAATTTAATTAACTTAAAGTTAACTTAAGTGCAATTAGAGGGAGAGGGAAATGAAAATACCCTTTTTCAGACAATTTACATGAATCAGTGTCATTTTTCTGTCTGTATATACCGACAGGTTTAATATTTGGAGGGTTTCTATTTATGTTAAGGTGAATTTAGTTAGTTTAGTTTGGAAATTGATGTTTGGTGTGGAAATGGATGTTAACTACTCTCTCTTGTGTGTATTTGGTTGATTCATTTATTTCTGTTTGTCAAATTGTCTGGAAAAATTCCTGTTTATTCATTCATTCATTCATTGATGTAAACTAATCTGCTCATGTTTCAAAAATGATTCCATGAAACATCATAGATGATAAAATGACTACAGTAAAATGCTGTTTTCTTTAACTCTGGAATATAATTAGTTTAGTTTATATCTAATAAGCATGGCAGATATTCTTAAGATGTTTTCCAGTTCTCCTACCTTAAAACGTGGATGCAACATGAAGAGGAAGGTTTCTCCCGTACCATAAAACTTCTCACTGGGTTTCAAAGGCTCGGAGAGGAAAGCCCCGAAAAGCTGATGGAAGATAAATTGTGACACAGATAAAGTAAAGTAGATTGAAATAAGCTGCAGGGTATTTTTCTAGTTTATATTAAAGCTTTTACCTCATCCAGTGCATCTTTAATCACAATCAGCACAGGGGAGTCAGTGTTGCCCAGTTTCCTGTATAGAGACTTGAGGCTGGCGCCGTGGCGGGACGTGCTGTACGCCAGCTGCCATGTGCGGCCCACCGTCCTGGGGGGAAGCTCCTGACTCAGCTGGAAGAAAAAGACACAGAAAGGAGGAATGATACAGAAAAAGGACAAAAATTATATAATCTTAAAACACAGAGATCAGCAAAGTATTTTGGTATTCCTTTAACACTTTTAGATTTATTCACTTTACAATAATAACATTTATTGTACTTTGTTGAGAGGCTATTCACCAGACTGACATATGGTGGAACATCTTAATTTATGGTTAAAACAAAACTTAAGATAAACCAGCTGTTCTTTTTTCATCTCGTTACAGGTGATGAAGCAGACTGAAAATGTTTTGTCATTGTCTCCTTTCAATCTCCTCTTTCTTTCATTTTTTCTTTTTTTTTCTTTTTTCTTCTTCTGTTTTTCTGCTCTACTTACATTGCAGTGTCCATATAAACTGTAAAACTCCCTGCATAATTATAATAAAGCAATTTATATACATGAAACAAGTGGAGCAGTATGGCGATTGCCGTACTGCTCCACTTGTGAAAGTAAAATCTGTTGGGCTCTTTTTGGCATCAAGACAATTATTCTTATTGCCTCATCGCCAAAAAAAATAATAAATAAACCAGCAAGTATATATTTCACTTTAGGGGAACAAGATGCGTTGGGTCGGTTGAAACACGTCGTTTTATGCTGAACTTGAAAAAAGTTTATACAAACTTTATTAGGACCAAACCAACATAAAAAAGTGTGTAACATTTAAAAGGTTGAATGCTTACGACCATTAGATAATGATATGAAGATAATGATCGATACTAATGAGGGTTGTTGTTTCCTAACTGCTGGTGCTGAATCACCAGACCGTAGTTCCGTAAAAATTCAAAAAATATCCACTGGACTTGGTTTTCAAGATTTGAAGACGTTTCTCCACCTCTCCAGGAAGCTTTCTCAATTCAAATGTCTGGATCCGCAGTGAGATTGAGTCTTTTTGACAAGGCCTTGTATCGCTTGGAAACATGCAATGGACAAAGGACATTCTTTTGAGGACCAGAATGTTCACATTCTGGATAAAGAAAATAGGTGGTTTGAG